CACCATTGTTTCCACTACTTCTTAACTAAAGTGTATACTTTATGTGGATTCCCTCAGCTTGTATAGAATGTTCTTTCTCTGTTGAAGGATGCTGTCTATTGCAGAGTCACACTTTACATTTAGTTTTTGTGTCTCCTTGGCTTCCTCTTTCTTTGACAGTTTCTCCAATATTCCTAGGTTTTGATGACCTTCAAATTTTTGAGGACTACTGGCCAAGTATTTCATAGAATGTCTCTCAGTTGGGATTTGTCTGATATTTTTCTCATGATTAGACTGGGGATATAGATTTTAATGAGGAAAATCACAGAAGTAAGGTACCATTCTCATCATATCCTATTAAGGGTAAATGTTATCTTTGCTGATGTTGACCTTGATCATCACTGGGTTGAAGAAGGTATATCAGTTTCCTTCTCTGGAAAGTTACTTTTTTTATCCTCCTTTTCCACTCTGTAGGCTTTGGAAAGAAGAGTTTTTATGGACAGCCCACATTTAAAGGAGGGGAAAATTACATTCCATTTCCTTGAGAAAAAGTGTTTTCATAAATTATTTGAAGTTCATCTACATGGGGAATTTGTCTATTCTTTTGATTAATTTGTTTATTCATTAACTTATTATACAAATATGGGCTTGTGGGTAATTATTTTATTCTTTGGGTTATAACTCATGCTTCATTTTCTTGCTCAAATTTTTTCCAGTTTGGGCCATTGAGAACTTTTTCAGTTGGTTCCTGTGTCCCTTTGACATTCCTGCCTCATTATGTTTGTTTTTTGTTTGTTGCTTTGTTTGTTTTAGCACTTCTTTACTTTCTGTTATTATAAGATACTCCAGGCTGGTCAAGTACACTTCCTGCCCCAGCCCTAGAGTAAGTCCTTCAAATAGCCCTGATCACTTCAACTGGAGAATAGTATTAGACACCAAGATCTCAGCACTTTTTGCATTGGTTTCTACTATATAGTACATTGCTTCTAGGCTATCTCAGATGACAGAACATGATATATGTGTGGTGTATATATATACACATATATACTTTGTTAATGTAACCATCTGTATCTACATTAAACTAAACATGAGTTCATACTGAAGTCTCCAATGCTAATCCATTACCACACGGATCGTTCTATCCTTCTCTTGTTTATCTGCAAACTCCTATTCCAACAGTGAGAAACTTGGCTCCCACCATCCACCATCCATTGACTTAATTGTTCAATTTCATGTATAGTGGGTTTAGAGCTGCTAATAATAATGTTATTAACTACAGCATATTACCAAAGTCAGGTTATTTGGTGGGTTTTTTTTTCTTGCTTTTAATTTTGAAGATTCATTTCCATAATTACTTAAGTCATTACCCTTATCCCCCACTGCCCCAAGTGAAGTTGTTTCATACATTTGTAATATAGTTAGATTGTTTGTCACATTCTGCCTTTCATTCTGGGATCCTCTAACCTCCTAAATTATTATTATTATTTTTAATTTGTGTACATTGATGTTTACTTTGTGTTATAAAGTTCTATTGGTTTTGATAAATGTTTAATGACATGCATCCACCGTTACAATATCACAGAGAGTGTTTTCATCACCCTAAAAAATACCTTATCTTCATTCACTTATTTAATCATCCCCTTGTCCCAACCTCTGGCAATCAGTGATCTGTACAGTTTCTATAATTTTCCCTTACCAAAAGCTCACTCAGACGGAATCATGCAATATCTAGCCAGTTCAGACTGGCTTCTTTCAATTAGCAATATGCATAAAAGATTCATCCATGTGTATGAATGGTTTGATCCTTTCTTTTTACCACTGAATAGTATTGAATTATATGAAATTTACACAGTTTGTTTATCCATTCACTTATTGAAGGGCATCTTGGTTGTTTCCCATTTTTGATGATTGTTAATAAAGCTCCTATAAACTTTTCTGTGCAGGTATTTTGTATGTGCATACATTTTAAAATCAGGTACATGTCTAGGAGTCCAGTTGCTTGATTATATGGCAAGACTATTTAGCTTTGTAAACACGGCCAAACTGTCCTCCAAGATGGCTGTGCCATTTTGCTTTTCTACCAGCAATGAATAAACATTCCTGTTTTCTGTATCCTTGCCAACAGTTGATACTGCTTTTACTTTTTGTGTCTATCTGGATCTTAACCATTTTGATATGTGTAGTGGTATCTCACCATTGTTTTAATCATCAGTCTCTTTTTATTTTTTTATTTATTTTTTTATAAGATTTTATTTATTTATTTGACAGAGAGAGATAGCAAGAGCAGGAACACAAGCAGGGAAGTGGGAGGGGAGAAGCAGGCTTCCCACTGAGCAGGGAGCCTGATGTGGGGCTCAATCCCAGGACACTGGGATCATGACTTGAGCCAAAGGCAGACGCGTAATGACTGAGCCACCCAGGCACCCCTCATCAGTCTCTTTTTAATACAAGGCTGTAGATCACTACACAGGCTATCAATGTTTCATTGCTTTTAATAGTCAGTTTGTAAACATAGAGTTGTATAAGAGTTCTACATTTCTTAGTGAAACACACCCAAGATAATCTATTCATTAAAAAAAAGAATAAGTAAAACAAAGAAAGAATAGAGTCTTGGACTTCTCTTATTTCTTTGATCAGTTTTGCTGGTTCAAATAGCAGCAACAACATAAAATGTGTTCATGACGCATAGCTTAATTACCCTCATTTTCTGAAATAGTAATCAGGTTACTATGCCAGGTAGGTCCTATAATGTAATACTTATAAACAAAAGCAATAACCAGAGAAACCCTAATGAATAAAATACCAAATAATAAAATATTGAAGTGAATATTGAATATAAGTATCAACAACTAACAAAAACATAAGAGCTATACTTCCAAAATAATTTGTTAAAATGAGAAGATAAAGGTGAGAGAATTTTTTGAATATAATTAACCTTGATAATATTCCCTTGCAAGTATCTAACCAATTTTTAAACAGATCTCTACAGTAGAAAATAATGTTTTTAAAAATAACCAAAACATATAGATTTCTTTTTTTTTTTAAGATTTTATTTATTTGACAGAGAGAGACACAGCGAGAGAGGAAACACAAGCAGGGGGAGTGAGAGAGGGAGAAGCAGGCTTCCCGTGGAGCAGGGAGCCTGATGCGGGGCTCGATCCCAGGACCCTGGCATCATGACCTGAGCCGAAAACAGACGCTTAACGACTGAGCCACCCAGGCACCCCCATATAGATGTCTTATCTCATAGAAAAATGAGAAATGTCCTTTGTTTTCAACTTTTTTTTGGAACTGTCTATAATATCTAAATAGTAACTTACCTCCAGACTTAAGCTTGTTAGTCTTATCTTACAATGTTTCATTTTACTCTATGGAGACAGCAGCACCTTGATTACCTTATGAACTGGAAATCTAGTGATTGTGTACACTGAGTATTTTCATGTTTTGAAAATGAGTATTTTCACCTCAGACCGAGTATTTTCAAGTTTCCACAACCAGAGTAGAATACCTCATCTGAAGTGACTGTTTATTTGGGAGGATAATGTACCAGTACAAAAAAATAAAACTTTGGAGTGATATAAATTACAATTCTCCCTCCAAATATCATTGTCAAATTAATAAATAAAAAAAACACTAGACTCCAGTTATATTTAAATTTTGGATAAAATAAAATATTGCATGGAACATTCTAGAACTTAAACAATTCTTTGTTGTTTATTTGAAATTCAAACTTAACTGGGCACCCTGTCTTTCATCTTGCAAGCCTACCTCTATTCCCTTTAGTTAATTTAATTTGAGGAAGATAGCATTGAGACAGTAAAAGAGAAATAAACTGGATCACTGGGGAAGATGCTAATACCGTACAGAAAGGAAATAGGGTAAAATATTTGAAGACTATTTACTTCTTTTTAAGGTAACCATAATATTGATGGACCAGGATTTTCATTTAACTTTTAATGCTTTTTGTTCATGTTTTCTTACTTTTTCGTGTTTTCACAGATGTATCTACCAACGTTTTCTAGAGGTTTCATCTTACCTTCCCTATCTCTTCTTAAACCTGTTTTTCCCTATAAGCAGTGGTGCTTAATACATAATAATAATAAATTTAGAATTGTTTTGTTGTTTTTGCAGTTAATTACTAGTATTTCAACAAAAGAGGCTTTTAGAGGCTTTTATATATCTTCCAAAGGCATTCAGATACATGCAAATATGTTAGTTATTACATTTAAACATAAAACATGCAGTTATAACTGAAATAATAAATTAATCTAAATTGAGAATTCCTCTTTGTTTTTAAAGAAGACTCATCCATCATACATAGTTGAAGTTACATACATAGCACTTAATAAAACAACATAACTATTGAGTTAAATCAACCTATAAATGTTACATGTATAAGCATTTACATCATCACTACCATTTAATTTCTATACATTCTTAAAAACTTATGGCATATTAATTTTTAGCATTAATATAGTATTCTTCCAAAGAACATAAACTACTTTTTCAGAGCAAAAGATATCATTTTAGATCCAAGATATAGAACAATAAGATTGATCAAAACAAAGTTAGAGAAGCTGAGACAACCAAACAAATTCATTGTGTTGGAGATGCCTTTAAATGTTTGTGTGTGTGTGAGTATAGTAAATCCAGCATGATTCTGTCTTTATATGGTAAAATTTAGCATTGTAATGAGACATTTTTACAATTTCTTGCTGTAAATGATATATATATATTACTCAGTCTTCTAAAGGCTAAAGATAGCTTACATTGTAAATGAAAGCCAATGAGGTGGGAAGGATACTCATTTTATTAACGTTCATACAGTATTTTCCTAGGTCCCTTATTATATTGAATTGCTTATGACTTTTCGCAATGTTAACAAAACTTTAAGAATTGTTTTTCTTTCTTTTGCTGAAAAGTATAACTTCTGATATAAATTTAAATGAACACCTGAGGATATTTTGTAATGAAGACTTTAATATATTTTTGTTATTTGATATGTACAGCAAGATTCTTACCTGAAAGACACCCAGCTACTGACAGAAACAGAATTAGTTTCCAAGAGGAAGCCATCCTTGGTTACTAGGGTATCTTGTATCTCAGTGTGTTTAGCAGTTTCTCATTAAAAGAATGCCCTGTTGAAATAAATAACAGTTTTCAAAAACTGAAAAAACAAAAAAGTAGACAAACACAAACCAACCAAAAATATCACCGTAAAATGATAAATACCTTTTATTGCAAAGGTCAGATTATATATACTTGGATTTTGACAGCAATAATAAAATTCATTAAAATTAATCTAATGCACAACACAAAAACTTCAGAGAAGTGATAAACTTTCCTTAACACATTTGTTTATATTGAATACTCCCTTACAGAAAATAAAAACATCAGGTTCTAATGGGGATGATTTTTCCTCACAGGGAATGTAGAATAGCCATATTTATTACATTAGACAAATTATTAGACTTGAAAAATAGGGTAGAAAGCCCAGTTATATTAATATATACTACTCTGGTCTAGAACATAACAAATGATCAGTTAGCCAAGTGATTTTACACATTGTGACTGTAGCTCATCTAAACCCCCACAGGAAATTTCCTCACTTAATTATTAATGTCAACTGCCTTTGTTTATAACTCCTGTGATTATCTGCACTGTGTTATATTTCCCTCCTTTGATATTTCTCTCAGCATCTTTTGCTAGCCAGAATCTGAAGGAAATAATTTTGTGAATATTTAACATTTTTGTCTAATGGCATTTTTATAACAATGATGAGTGTAGCACATAAAAATTGTTTGGTTCCATTATTTGTCTTGAAAGATATGATAAACATAAAAAGTATAAAATTCTAGCATGAAACTTCCTGCAAGAACTTGATAAATGTGCATTAGAAATTCCTATAATAGACAAGTAACTTCTGAGTTTTCAAGTGTCAGTTAGTGGTGTACTTCTTAGCTCAAACTGATTAAATTGGGAAATAATTGTACAGTGTGTTAATAATTTTTAAATAACAATTGCTTCTTGGCAACTGTTTCCATCCTATAGACTTAGAAGTTCAGATTATCTCTACATTTTAGAAAAATTCTTAAATATATAGGCAAGCATGTCCCCACCCCCCCCCACCTCTGGCTAGATAATAATTTGATATAGCCATACCCAAACAGGGAAATCTATTAGTGAATCTTTACCTGAATAATGTTAGTCTCATTTCATTTATATTTTTAAGTCTAAGTCTTGGTAATCTATTTGAATTACATGGTTAGAAATCACAAGTGGAGAAGAAAGTTAATAACAACTAATAATGGCTGATTTACAGCCATCTACCAAAAAAAGAGAGAGTTTTCATTCTTTCTTCTAAGAAATATCAGAAACAAAGACAATTTGAAGCACAAAAAATACCTTATCACTAATTTTTATAATTAAAGAAATTTTCATCATTTATATACTATATTTATATACTGTTTATTTTACCAGAAAGGAGAGGAAGAAACTTAGCAGTTCCCACACAAACATTAGAGAGACTTAGAGTTGCTAGAACTACAACTATGATTCATGAGAATGCACATGTGAATTAGTGAATTTTCAACCCATGTTGAAATGGACTTTTCTCAGATTGTGAAATCTGAGACATTGATATAGTTTTGCTTCACTTGTTTTGATGAGCTTTTGTTCAGTCCATGTCCCCCAAACTGGTATTTTCCCTATTTGCAATGTCCTCTGTTGTGTTAACCATTCTTCATCAACAAATGCAAATGTTTTCAGAGCACTTACATGCTGTACATTGGGAAAGTCAAAGAGAAAACACACACATGTGCACACACATACATACGCATATACCACAGAAGTTTATCACAGGCTATGAATCAAATAAGTGGGATACTGTAAATATACTACCAATATAGAGCTATCAAAGGGAGAATCTATTCATAAAACTGGCAAAAGGTGGAAATAAAACAGAGGGCTCTTCAGTAAAATTTCAAGAAGACATTGATCTTGGACAAATATTGTATTGTTGAATGGGACAATGCAGGGAGATTAACAATGAGCACATGAATAAATAAATCAATGTCAGAGATTGATCCATACTATGATAGAATTAACACAGAGTAAAGAGACAGTCAGAGGATAGATGGGGCTACTTTAGTAGGGGTTCACAGAAGCAATTTCTGATAAGATGACAGTTGAGTATTACTGTTTTCAACATGTCATTATTGAATAATCCTTATGTATATAACCCAGGTACATCTGTTTTTTCAATTCTAAAAAAAAATGGTACACTGAATTTTATTACTAAAAGAAATTAAAAATCTCTTCAAATAAAAAAAATAGCCTGTGTGTGTGTGTGTGTGTGTTCATTTTCCAGCATTAATGGTTGCTTAATGGGGCTAAAACACAAACAATCATAGATCGTTAAAAGCCATTCTTTTAAGACACCTAAAGATTATTTTCCTTTCCTTCTTTTTTATTATCTCTCTTAATTTTTTTTCCTCAAGTAAAAAGTAAAATAAATTATCTTTAGGTTCTGAAATATGTAAACTTTTTAAATAGTAAGCAAACAAAAAAGTCCCAACAATATCCTTAATAACACAGATATTAAGAAAATGTTTTCTTTTCTTTATTGTTTTAATTCCACTATAGTTAACATGCAGTGTTATCTTAGTTTCTGGTGTACAATGTAGTGATTCAACAATTCTGTATCTTATTCAGTGCTCATCATAAGTGTACTCTTTAATCCCCATCACCTATTTCACTCATCCTTCCACCCACCTCCTCTCTAGTAGCCATCAGTTTGTTCTCTATAATTAAGAGTCTGTTTACTGGTTTCTCTCTCTCTCTTTTTTCCTTTGCTCATTTGTTTATTAAATTCCACATATGAGTGAAATCACATGGCATTTGTCTTTCACTGACTGACTTATTTCGCTTAGCACTATACTCTCTATCTCCGTCCATGTTGTTGCAAATGAAAAGATTTCATTCTTCTTATAGCTGAATGATACCCCATTATATATACATATATACCACTTCTTCTTTACCCATTATTGATAGACACTTGGGCTGCTTCCATAATTTGGCTATAGCAAATAGTGCTGTGATAAACATAGCAGTGCATATATTGTTTTGACTTAGTGGTTTGTATTCTTTGGATAAATACCCAATACTGTGATTACTGGATCATATGGTAGTTTTATTCTATTCTTAACTTTTTGAGGAACTTCCATATTGTCTTCCATAGTGGCGTCACCAGTATGCATTCCCACCAGTAGCACAAGAGGGTTCCTTTTCCCACATCCTTGCCAAGACTCGCTGTTTCTCATGTTGTTGATTTTAGCCATTCTGACAGGTGTGAGGTGATATCTCACTGTAGTTTTGATTTGGATTTCTTTGATGATGAGTGTTGTTGACCATCTTTTCATGTGTCTGTTGGCCATCTGTATGTCTTTGGAGAAATGGCCATTCATGTCATCTGCCCATTTTAATTAGATTATTTGTTTTCTGGGGTGTTGAGTTGCATACGTTCTTTATATATTTTGGATACAAACCCTTTATCAGATATGTCATTTGCAAATATCTTCTTCATTCTGTAGGTTGTCTTTTAGTTTTGTTGATGAAATATGTTAACTTTTTTATATGCCTCTCTTGAAAACACAGTTATTCTCATGACTTTAATAAAGTGCTTGTATCAAAATAATAAAATGATGTAATTATGCAGACATACAGTCTTTAAGTTCCTACTACATGTCAGGTTAAATTATAATCAGTTAATAAATTTTACTAAAGAACACCAAGATGTATATTTAGAAATACCTTAATGGAGACTGGCAGCTGTACAAAAACTGTTGTTCATCAAAAGATTGAAAATCCATAAATACTAATTGGGGAACCACTAATCAGATACAGTTTTTAAAACCTCACATTTTAAAAAAGTTTATTTCAATGTTTAGAATATAATTATCCCAGTTAAATGATAGTAATAATTAGTGATACTATTATCACCTGTGATAGTTAAAGAAAAATGTATGAAATGGCATCATATTACTTTGCAAATTTTTACTTGAATTATTGTAAATATTTGCAAGTAAAGGAAAATAAGTAGGTATTTGTATTATCATAAATTTTAAATAATAAATACATTGTGCAGTTGAATGTGTAGGTAAGTACTTAAAAGCATCACATCTTTTTTTTTAAAGATTTTATTTATTTACTTGAGAGAGAGAATGAGAAAGAGAGAGAGCATGAGAGGGGGAAGGGTCAGAGGGAGAAGCAGACTCCCTGCTGAGCAGGGAGCCCGATGCGGGACTCAATCCCAGGACTCCAGGATCATGACCTGAGCCGAAGGCAG